TTCATCTCTAGACTGTTCAGCATCTCCTAGCTCTATGATTAGGGCATCTTTATCATTAACAAAACTATAATATGTATCTATTAGAACATTTGCTAATGACATCAATTTTTTCGAAGAGTAGGAATTCATATTTCTCTAAACATCCCTGAAAGTTACCTCATCATTGTCATCCTCTTCATCCTCATCGGACTGAGCTGTCAATGCAAACAATGAATCATATTCCTTTGCTTTATTTTCCACTGCCATCATGGAGCTGCTTCCTGCATCTGGTTCCTCTTCTGATTCATTGGAGGAGTCTCCCCATGCAGCCAAAGCTTGCTTCACCATGTTTTCAGCAGCATCTCTTCTTTTGAATTTCCTGTCAGGGACCGGGTTCCTCTTAGCTGCTTTAACAGTGTTGGTTTTGTAATGATCCTGCTTATGAAGAGGGCAGTCTTTAATAAAGTGTCCAGGCTTTCCACACTTATGACAGCAATCATTTCCTTTGAAATTACTGCTAGAACTTCCTTTTTTTGGGATCCCGCCATTTTTACGAACCGTCTTCTGAAATCTTTATGGTCTATTGGTTGATTGACTTTCCTCGAAGTTTGGTGGAGCAACCATGTAGATCCTTTCTAGGTGTTAACCTTTTAGAAAGAACCTGCTCTGATACCAATTGTTGGAAACTAAGCGTCCACCAGACTGTATAGAGAACCAGGCTCTCTATGAGTTTCCACTGAAGATACTAATGAACCAAACTATATAGCGATCTGGTCCTATATCAGTTCCCACAGTGCTAACTACTTAACCAATATGTAAATGAGACACAGGATTTGTTCCTACTGTATAGAGAACCAGATTCTCTATAAGCTCCTAGTGTAAGCAACAGATTGTAAAATCAACCAGTATAGGAAGTCAGGTTCTCTAATTGTTCCACAGTAGCTCGGGAGTAGGTAAAGAACATAGAGGATTTTTACGTGGAAAAATCCCACACAAGGGGATCAAAAAACCATGACCTACACTTATAGGCTTTCAACTTCACTAACTTGTAAAGACCTATTATAAGCCACTTTGTAATGATTCTATTACAAAGGATTCAACTCAACTAACTTGTGGTACTCTCAGCACAAGCCGTTTTGTGACTCTCTAGTTACAAAGACTTTAACTAACTTGTGATACTCTCACCACAAGCTACTTTGTAATAACTCTATTACAAAGACTTCAATCACTCTAACTTGTAATAAAACTATTACAAGCCACTTTGTAATAACTCTATTATAAAGACTTTAACTTATGACTAAACCTAGTCACAACATAAACTGGAGAGTTTACGGATTATGGGTTTTCGAAAAACAGCTTCTAAGAAAGCAAGATAGGAGATACAATGAAGAACAAATAACAGACTCAACAAACCAAAGGACTTAAGATATCTTCGATCTTGGATCAGGTCCTTGAGGTTGCGGCAGCTTTGTTCTTGAGAGAGGTTGTGGCAAGCACTTGAGAGAGTATTTTCGTTTCTGATCTTGCAAGCCTTGGGAAGGAATATCTTGTGCCTTGCACCAGGTTTATACTATAAAAGACATTACCTTAGTGATGTCAAATCTTGGTTAGTACATGCCTTTTCCCAATGGGAAGTGACTGCTGCACTATCTGCTGAACTGTTGGTGTACAGTTGTAGGCAGTCACTTTTTGCAGTTGCTTTCCAGCTGTACAGTTGACTTATACTTCTGTCAGGGGAACATCAAAGTATCAGGTCCCTAATCTGGTTCTTGTGAATCTAAAAGCACACTGCCCAGATTATCTTGAGTCGATTAACTTGAATGATTGTACCAGGCATACTTCAGGTCCTTTATCTGGTTCTCTCATGAAGTAAGTTGTTTTACCTTCCTTGATTGTATTTATACGTGTGTGACATCACTTACAATGATGTAATTAAGGTAGGTAAAAAGCCTTCCATAGAAAGTTGACTGTTGCACTGTTCCTGTGCAGTAGCGTGTGCAGGCAGCAACTTTCCTGCTGGAGAGTTGACTTCATACAGTCTCCTCGAGAACTGGTAGGAACCTGTTTCCTCAGCTATTCCTTCCACTCTGAAGAGTTGAGTTATATCCCACGCTGGATCTCAACCTGGAACTTGTGATCTCGAGGTCTTGTGAATGTGTAACAGGTTCCTTATCCAGTTTTGGATGGTAAGTTTGTTAGATAATTAAAACATAAAGTAAAGTACCTATGCCCAAGGTACTTGTAACCTATCAAGGTAGGAGTAGCCCCGCGGAATACAAAGATGCGGAAAACAAGGCTAAGATGGTTCGGGCATGTGAATAGAAGAAGTATAGATGCCCCAATGAGGAGGTGTGAGCAGTTAGTCGTGGTAGGTATGGGAAGAGGTAGAGGGAGGCCAAATAAGTATTGGGGAGAGGTGATCAGGCATGACATAGTACGACTGCAGCTTACCGAGGGCATGGCCCTTGATAGTAGGGTGTGGAGATCGAGAATTAGGGTAGAAGGCTTGTAGGTAGTCGAGCATTTTTCGTTTCCGTATCGGTGGTATTTATGTTAGTATGTTAATTTTCTTGTTTTAGATTGCTTTTGTTACCTATTGCTTTCTTATTATTTTTCGCTTCGGTTTCTTGGTATTCTGCTGTTGTTACTGCTTATTGCTACTGTTTCCTTTCAGTTATTTTTCGGCTATCTGTTGTTCTCTCACTATAGTTCGCTTCGGTATTCTCAGTATCTTGTTATAGTTATTACTTGTTGCTACTGCTTTATTTCCTGTTGATAGATTATATGTGTATCCCTATTATATTTTGATGATCTAACAAACTTACTGTTAAGAACCAGATAAGGAACATGTTATACATCCTCAAGAACTTAAGATCAACAGGTCTCCAGTCGGGGACACGGTTCAACTCTTCAGAGTCAAAGAAACGGCAGGGGGAACAGACAACTACCAGTTCCAGTAGTGACTGTACAAGTCAACCTCCACGGCTGTAAAGTTGCTTCATGCACATCCAACAGTGCAGCAGTCAACTTTATGGGGAATGCCCTTTACCTAACTTGCTTACGTCATTCAAGTGATGTCACAAATAAATTATTAACATCAAGCAAAGGTAAAACAAAACACTTGCACATTCGAGAATTAATCAAGCATTTTCTCTCAAGTCATCTATCAATCTTGCAAGTGACTCTCAAGGGCATCAAGAACAAAGAACAACATAACAACGGACCAGTTCCCTGTATCGAGTTATTATATGTCATTAGTTGTGTTGTATCTTTGTTAAAGCACTCTAATTAGCTTAGTTAGAAGCATTGTGTAGGGAATCTTTGTAAATCATAAACCCTTGTGTTTGTGTCTTGGCTAGAGTTAGTCGAGTAAGTCTTTATAATAGAGTTATTACAAAGTGACTTGTAATAGAGTTATATCAAGTTAGTGAGGGATTAAGAGGTTAATTCCTCGGTTACAAGAGGTTGTAATCTAAAGTTTGCTCAGTAGTGAAGTTGAAATCCTACAAGGGTAGTCGTGATTTTTGATCCTGTGAGCTGGGAGTTTTCCACGTAAAACTCTATTGTTTTTCATTTACTTACTACAGTGTGTGTGTGTTCTGTGGGAACTAATAGAGAACCTGGTTCTCTATATAGTTTGATGGACCCTTAGTTTCTATCACTTGTTTCTTGAGCCGCGGATCGACCGAAAACAACCTCTCTACCTTCCCGGCATAGGGTTAAGGTCTGCATACACACTACCCTCTCCAGATCCCACTTATGGGATTCCACAGAATTGTTGATGTTGTTGTTGTTGCTGGTACTACTGTTTGTAGTTTATTTTTTCTAATTATTTTTCATGATCACTTTTAGAATAAATGGATATCAAATCCCTTGTGAGCTTGGACGACATAATTTTGAGAACACATGGGAGTGTATACCTTGAGATATCCAGGATCAAGTAATACAATTTTAGCCGGTGTTCAGCGCTCAAAATTCTGAATCCTCCAAGTTCTCGTTTGTTGATAATAATTCCACTTCGGACATGTCTTGAGCAGGGGCACAACTAGTAGCCGACTACGTATTTGGGCGAACTCAAAAGCATTTTCTCAAATAATAAATTCATCAAATATGTACAAATATGAAATTTAGAGTCTGTATACGGTAAAAACCGGGCCTACCAGATTTTACTATTTGATCGAGACTAGGGAGTTGCATCGAAGGTCGGCCTCGTAGTGGATCAGACCAAAGCACGAGGACAAGGTACCGAGTTCGAGAATCGAGGTGCCTTTCGAGATCGAGGCCAGCAACGATCAAGACCAAATAGGGTAGACTTCGAGCAAAGCGCAATAACAGAAAAGCGAGATATCCGTGACTGGTCGAAGATCATGGCGGAAATCTCGGAACAGATCAAATCAAGGGCGGTTGTTTAGACTAATTATGGATTTACTTCCGTAATTAGAATTGTACCATAGATAGGATTCCTCTAATATGTAAAGAGGTTCTAATCATTCTGTAAGCACCTGACATTCACGCATATCAAAGCAATACAACACTTTCTTTCTAGCTTATATTCTTGTTCATCAGCTTGTTTATCTCTTGACTATTTGGTGGCCAGTTCGAGGGCATCCTAGCTCGAGGGCTGAATTACGTTTCTACACTGGTTTGCTTTATATAATTGTTAATTTTCATTACTAATCTTCATATTCATCAATCAATATTAGGTGAAATTACATGTCTTTAAAACCACATTATAAGTTTAATTGTTATCCAATATTTAGGGTAAACAGAGTCCAATTATCATAATTTGATGTTGTTGTTCTAAATAAAGAACCCAAAGTTGAAATTATGTCTCCGCTCTGATCTTGAGGGTCCGAGTTAAGTGGGTAATTGTATACTCTACCTAAAATATAGGAGTACGAGCGCTGCTTCGCTGCAAGCTGTTAAAAAGGCAATAATGCTGATGTAACTATCCATTGAACGCATATTTGGACAAACTGTATGTATAAAGTAGGTTATGCAGTAGAGCTTACACCATTGCAACACATGAACCAGTGGAGAAAATATAAACATATGAAAAACTTGAAGTTGCAAAAATTACAAAGGAAATGAAGATCAACAACACATATTTCTGTTGAGAAACAACCTTCTTAATTTCTCAACCCCTCACTCTTTTCTCAATACAATGCAATAATGTGACAAAATGAAGTGGAGAAGAAAGAGGATGAGCACTTGTTTTAATTCGTCTCTTCGCTCCTTTCTTCCTCCAGATATCCGCCTTTTTATTTAACCTACACTTCAATAGCTAAACCCCTAATAACTCATACTACAAACCAACAAGAAGTTGAAACTTACAAACAACTGCACAATTCTTACATAAAGACCCCAGAGTTGATGATTCATTCTTTGTTTGTCTTTTGAGTTTTAGACAAGAGTGTAGCTTGATATGGAGACCACTGCAGGGGAAGCAGAGTGAACGTACACAAACTCGAGGCTTTTTCCAGCTGGTAATGAGTTGAGCCAGGCCGGAAATACGTAGGAGTCACCATATTTTGAAAGACCCCAGAGAGAACCATAGAGTTGGGATATTGAGAGCTTCAAGTTCTTCAATGTCTTAGCAGAGTTGTTAGTTACTATTACTGAGTATCTGTAGTAAGTTTTCCCCTTGTGAACCCATGAAGCTGTTTCCTTTTGTTCAATAGTAATGTCAGCAGTTGATGAAGCTGCAGAAATGTTCCATTTTAGATTCCTCTCCAAATTTTGTTATGGCTACAATTTATTTGCACAAGTAATTCTAACTAAACACTGTCAAAAGAAAAACTAGTTAAAGTACCTGGAGCTCGAGTTACTTTTTGCTCTGGATCTGGCTTTGGCTGAGGGATAGCAACTGTAAGTAGCAAAGGAAAACTCTTTGTTAGCAACAGCTTCAAAAGCTTTCTTATAAACAAAAGTAGCAAATGGGAGAGTTGGGGTCAAATTTGAGCAGGTCAAATCAATAAACGTATCACGATCCAACTCGCCCAACGTTTACAAGGTTGGACCATAAGAGTCTATCGTGCACAGTCTTACCCTGCATTTCTGCAAGAGGCTGTTTCCACGGCTCGAACCCATGACCTCATGATCACATGGCAGCAACTTTACCAACAACCTCTTGGGCTAAAATGAGGGGTTAATTTGCATTGTGAGAAAGAATGTCAATTAACCAAGAATACCTGGAAGGAGCTGACTATATTGACTTTGACCACCATGAAGTCTAGCTAACACACCAATCAAAGGAGCATTGTTGTAGGTGGCTGGTTCAGTTTGCTCATAGTTGTCTCTCTGATCAGCAAAGTTATCATAGGCATCAGGTCCACCAACAATGGCTCCAGCTAGAAGATTGGGATCGCTCGCCTTTCTACTAAACCAGGTGGCATAACCTCCACGGCAGCTAACAAAGGAAGGATCCTTCTTTACAGAAACAATGGAAGAACCTCTATGGTGAACTTGTCTTGGGTAGTTGTTTCCATATCCCACCATGTAACTTGTAGCTCTTGGATTATCTCCAAGAATGTAGTCAACCTAAAAAGATTGTACACAACGAGTTTAACCAATGTGTATGTATATAGGCGTTTCAATAATATCTGGTTGAAGTTGAAAATGAGTATTTGAAAGGAGCTCGGGTTAATATTAGTAACGGCTTAACGCTGTGTATTAGTTTTAGTATCTTTACCTGTGACTTGGCAAATGAAAGGAGCTCAGATGGTGATACAGTGCCAGATGAACACTTGAGGGATTTTCTAGCAGAGGCCAAATAGTCAGAGTAGACAGTGGCAAGGAAAGAAGCACTTGTGACAAATTGCATATTGTTCCATCTCTGCCTGAAAATGAGACCTCCTGGACTCTTGTGGATGTTTTGGTTACCCTTTCCAAGACATGCGCACATGAAATTCTCAGCCTTTTCCTGGTACTTGTCAAATACAGGTTCGTGTTTACCAGCATTCCCTTGCATTAGGAACTGCAATTATATACACAAACATATCAAATGAATATTCTGTCATCTGCTGAAGAAATTTAGGTTGCAAATCGTCTTATTTGACCGTAGGCATGTTCGGCGTGACCAATTTACAGTTTATAAACGGGACAACTTGCTAATGAGAAGGCGATAATTCAGGTTATGTTACGGAATAAAAGTATGGATTTAAGGGAACTGACCTTAGCAGCAAGAGTCTGGACACCGGCATACTTAACGTCCCAGCCAAATTCAGTCATGGACCAACCAGTTCCACCAAGTGCATCCCCATTTTCCCCTAGGTAGTTCAAATAATATGGCTTGTTAGATGCCTTGTACAGCCATGCCGCTGCCCACAGTAATTCATCCTGTGAAATTACATATTGTGAAAAATGAAGAGATGTATACATATTTAAAAAATCTCTTCATGACATAGTGCAAAGAAAAGGAGAAGACGTTGAATTACATACCGCGTATCCACTGACAGATCGGTAGTACTTCTGGGCCACAGTAATGCTGCTATCATACTTGCCCCTGTATTTGTCCGCAAACTCGAATAGCTGAAAATAACAGTAACCACTTGTTCAGGAAACGCAGAGGTAAATATTGTAGTCCTACACAACCAGAATAATAAGGGGGGGCGGAGTAAATTTAACTTACATACTACCACCTCCGTCCAAATTTATGTGATGCAGTTTGAATCAATAATGATGGGGGCAAAGGGAGTAGTAACTTTTAAAGAATGTTATTATATGATTTAACATGTTATATGTCTTCTTAGGTTGCTAATTTCACAAATATAACCATTTACTTGGAACATTTCTTTTAAGTGATGATACGATTGTATAGTTAGTAGAACTGGAGAATATGAAATAGTACAGTACAACACCACCTATAGTCCCTATATAAAGTCTTGTATTACGAATGAATTGTGTAAACAGCAATACCTAGGGAAAAAAAATATACGGAGTACGTTTACCATATATGACACGCTTTCCTTATTATTTTGTTCCAAAAAGAATGACACATTTTTATATTCAAACAATTGACTCTCATTTTACCCATTTCAGCCTTAATAATTTTTTTTATAGCAACACAAATGTTACGGCTTGTTATCTTTTAATCTTTTAAAATCACAAGTTTCAAAAGTGTTTTTTACTCTTAAACTTCGTGCCAAATTAAATTTTATATGTGAGATTTGTGTGGTTATTCTATTATCTGCGTTACAATAGCGTGACTGCTAACTTGGTCCAACTAAAGAAGTATATAAAATTTCCATATACAGCATTTACTTGGACGTTAGGATTTTGAATGCAAGAACAGGACACCTCACAACAAACCTACACTGACAACATCTAGCCTGACAAAAAACAGAGCTAATCGTAACTGCCTAATAACTCCGCCCATATATAAAAGATCGCCCGTAATATTTATATCGAATCTATAAATGAATGATCATATATATTTTATTGATTTTTTTTCAAGTAAAAGTGATTTATTTTTAATATCAATTTTACTTTATGTTACTCCTAAAATTAAATTGTTTAGTTTAGATATACCTGGAACGCATGAGTGAGGAGTTCTTTGGCATAAGCAGGGTTGCTGTTCCGAAAGACGATGGAAGCAGCCGCCATGGCGGCTGCTGTCTCGCCAGCGAGATCAGATCCAGGGCGGCTCGGATCGATCCTGTAAGCAGCTCTTGAAGTGGTCATGTCCTCTGGTCTTTGCCAACAGTAATGATCTGTCGTACCATCTCCAACCTATATATTATTCAAAACATATCACATCAACTGAACTTACTACTAACTATGGTCAAAATTATGCCTATAATCTTTGTTTAAAAGTATCTTTATTATCCCATTGAAAATGACATTTGGAACACACCAAATTTAATTTGGTAAAAATGGAATAGCAGTGGCAGGGCAACCCGATGCACTAAGCTCCCGCTATGCGCAGGATCCACGAAAGTGCCGTATCACAAGGGTCTATTGTATGCAGCCATACGCTGCATTTTTGTAAGAGTCTGTTTCCGCGGTTCGAACCGGTGACCCCGTAATTACATGACAATAACTTTACTAGTTGCGCCAAGGCTTTCTCAAAAATGGAACAGCAGTATGAGTATGAATTAATTACCTCTCCGTAAAGGACATTTGGTTCAGGATGAGCTTTAAGGAGGTAATCAGTACCCCATTTAACAGCATCCATAGCATTGCTAAGCTCTCCACTTTCACCCATTTGCTTCCCATATTCTATGATGCTCCACGACATCATTGTAACAGTGAATGCCATTGGCAGTCCAAATTTCACATTATCCCCTGCATCATAGTACCCTCCTACCAGATCCACCTGCAACAATTAATTTCTATAATTAATCGAATATTTATTCTGAAACTAGGAAATGAGATCAATTTTACAAAAAATTTAAGTTGTATATACTGACAGTATAAATATTTTCTACTTATTAATGTATTTATTAGTAGTTACTTTGTGAATGACCTAATTGTGCGCGAAAGTTAAACTCAATTACAGTCAAACTTCTTTATAACAATATCACTATATAACTGTCATTCACTATAAAAACCAGTTTTTTAATGAACCAATTTGTATGTTATGTTGTATAATATATGTTCTCTATAACAACACTTTGCTATAACAGCCAAAAAGATCCGGAACAAATAAGGCTGTTACAGAGATATTTGACCGTAAGAATGTAGAGGAGAAACTTACCCCACTAGCCTTTCCGTCAAGAAGACCAGAATTACCCCTCCATTGAACTCTCTGGTCATGAGGAAGATAACCAGATCTCTGAGCCTCGTAAAACAGAAAGCTTTTGCTTAGTGCTTCACCATAATTATGGCTACTAGCAAATGCCACATTTGGAAGTAGCCAAATTATAAGAAGCTGAGGAGTCATAGCACAGAACATCATGACAAAATTCATCGTATGTTTAGAAATCTTAACTGTAGAGACTGTACTACTTTTGGCTATACGTATAAATGTTACAAAAATGGCCAATGTAGGTGCTTTTACAAGTTTAATACATAGAAAGACCCCTAAAGAATGGTTATTAAGCAAGAAGAGAATAGAGATAGTAGAGAAGAAAGAGTAAGGATTGGGAGAATGGGAAGAGATTGAACCAGTATATATGGTGAATGGAACAGAAAGTGCCAAGATTTTAGAAAATGGCCAGTGTCTAAATAATGCAATTAAAAATAAAGAAACAAAAATAATGTCTATTGATACTTCATAGTTCAAGAGACAGTGTCATGTGCTTTTGTTCGTCGTTTTTGTTAGGAAGGGTCGGCGCTGAAATTTATTCGAACGAAATTAGTGCACACAATTATACATTAGTTAAATTAATCAATGAATAATTTTTAATAGTTATTATAGGTCTTAGACAGACGATGTGTACGAAGATAAATGGAGGGGAGTTCCCAAAAGGAGGAAAAAGAAGAAAAAGAGAATGCAGTCAAAAATAGTTACAGAAAAGTGTCTGTTGGGTGTTCCCATTTGTCTAGACTCAACGTTACTGACTCATTTGGACTTTGTAATTCGCCTACGAGGCCATGTGTCAAAACTGTTAAAATAGCACGGGCTAACCTGTTTTCGGACTGGTCATTCAAAAATAGTCAGCGTTTGCAATCTCATTGAAAAATAGCTATTATTTTGCTGCAACAGGGACCGGTCAAGCATAATATATTGGAGATCAGTGCACCTGTGTATGAACTTCCAGCATACTATGCTGGAATTCCAACGCGCGAAAAATTCCAGCATAATATACTGAAGACAAGAGTACCTATGTATGAACTTCCAGCATATTATACTGGTTAAAATTCTCTCGTCAAAAGTGTGGTTAAAATACTAATACGGCCAAAACTTAAAAAGATTAAAGCATCATTGTATCTGTACGTGGACATAGTTTATTTGGCTTTGCCTCTCCGACAGTTCCAATTTTAACTCCAATGCCTGATACTTATCTCGTAAATCTACTCAGGGGAGTATACAAGTTCTACACTTGTCACTTTCTTCTTTTGAAGAGATTGTTACACAAATAGTCGGCTAAATTTATTATTTACTTTTCTAGCCGATATATATAGATTATATACAGTTATATATATATATACTATACATAAATTTTATATATGATTATATATTTGCCGACTATTTTTACTTTAAGAAATTAGATGGACAACTATTAGGATTAATTCTTCTTTGATATCCCGACCAATCTGTATTTGTCCACTAAAGGGGAAAGTGCTCCTACAAAAATTTCTTTTCATATTTAAGACTTGAATCTGAAACTTCTGATTAAGGATAGAGAGATACCTTCAACCATAACTTATGAATGATGATAAAAGGAGTAATATTACTCTATGGGGTGAGGATGAATAACTTTTCATGCTTTTATGTTGAAAGGTTAAGTACACATACCCATTTAAATACACGATTCAGGCAGTTGATGTCTTCTGCTTTGTTTTATTAGTATGTTAATATATTTTGACGTGATAAATAAAATTACAGGACATATTCTTACTTAATAAAATTTAAGTACACACTATTCTTTTTTGATCTTACTTGTGAAACTAATATATGTTGATAAATTCTTCCGTCATAGCAAAATTAAAAAAAAAAAAAAAGGATAACTCATTGTTTCCCCTTATTATTCCTTTTCCTAATGCCCAGGCCTTTCCAACACTTAACACAATTTAATAAGAACGAAAACAAAAGTACATTTTTCTCATTTTATTTTTATTTTTTATGTTTTCCTTTTTATTTGACCTCGTTTCTAACACTTAATTTGGAACTACCGAAACCTGACCGTTGCACCAAGTAAACAAACATCCTCAACGTCTAGAGCATTTCTAGTTTCTAAAAGGCATATAAGCACTCAAATAATGGGAGCAAAGCCAGGGGCGGCCCGAAGAATTTGTCGCCTAAAGTCAAACTTTACGAGAGGCCTTAATTTTTTTTTATAAAAAAATATTATTTATTTGAAATTTATTTTTTTTAGCTTTTCTTAGATACAAAGTTGCTAATAATTTTCTTATAATTAATAACTCCCACTAAATATTTCTCAATTGACAATCTAGTCCATTTAACCTTTCTTGTGACATTGTTGATCTTAGGTAAGATTTTATCAATTTTAATTTTGAAAACTTCTTTCCATTGAAGCAACGGTAACATGAGTTATTAACATTATTCCATAAGCAATTTAGGCATTTGAAAAAGAATTAAATCTTTTTATTTTATTAAGTGTATCAACTAAAGTGATATCTTCTAATCGTACTATTTTTCTTAATACTTTTATCAGAATATAAATATAAACCATTAAATACGAATTGATTATTATGCTTTTAGGAACATTCAAGATTAAGGCAATATTTTTTTTAAATTTTCAACATCTAGTGATCTTAGTTTCTACCGCCAAATAGAAAATCAAAATATTTTCATATGCTGCGAATTGTTCAAATCTATTTTGAAGTGGAAAAAAAGTCTTGGCTATTATGTATAAAATTAATCAACTCTAAAGTACTCTTCGAAAGATTTTGAGATTTCATTATCAACATTCGCATCAAATTGTTACTTCTTTTATATCACACGTTTCTTACAAAATTCGGGATCGATATTCATTTCAAGTGCAATTTCCTTGGTAGAAATCATAGCAGTTGCAAATCCTTCTTATCTATATTTGTTAAAGAAAGAAATCAAACTTTGTCACTTTACAAAAGTTATTTTAAAAGTTATACATAATTTATTAGGTGTAACAAAAAATGGGGCCCAAAAAATATAAGGCCTAAAGCGATTGCTTTATGGAAGGGCCGACCCTGCCAAAAGCAAGGGTTCTTGAAGTTGATAAAACATTAAGGAGAGTTTGAAGGTATTTTCTTTTTTGCTTGAACATTTATATGGGTGGTCAGGGGCGGATGCACCATACAGCTATTGGGTTCAACTAATCCAGTACTTTCGATGCAGAGCATAAATTTATATATAAAAAATTACTAAAATTACAATAAATAGTAAATATAAACTCATAAATTTTAAATGTTGAATTCATCCAACTAAAATCCTAGATCCGCATGTGTGAATGGTAACAGTTGGAATTAGACCGTTGCACCTAGCAAAACAAACATCCCCAGCGTGTAATATTCTAACTGAAATGACTAATAGCACAAGAATTATGGGAGCAAAAAAGTAAAGGGGTAAAGAGATACATTTTGCGACAAGGAGAAATTATGGGAAAGGAAAGGGGTCCATCTGTTAATGAGAAAAAATGGGGAGAGTGGACAACAATAAAAACTTACACTCAATTGATATTTACATCATATCAATAAATACATAATACATATCTTCACGTATATTTTATTACCGCATCATAGTTAATTATTGCATAATTGATCACTTCCAATTCTAGTCCTAAAAAGGATAAGCGGTCGCTGCAAATATAATCCGGTCTATAAGTCCGGAGTCGAATCCCACAAAGAACTAAGGCTTAGCTATATCTGTTTAATATCACTAAGAAGACAAGTTTGAACAATTTTCTAAATTATAAAGATTGAGATTTATATTTCTAACAAATTAACTAGCATATACTACAAAACGGTAAAATTATCAACTAACGAGACAAAGGGTTGGAGACTAAATTAACGAAGTGTAGAGTTATAATTTCCCCAATTGTCGGAATCCTTCTAGCTACGTTCCTTACAATTTTGCCAATGTATTCTCTACTGATCGTGAGCACTTTAGGTGCCGTAATTCTCTCTCGAGCAACTACAATAATTTACTAGACATATTCTCTCGAACTACGCTAGTTGGCTTTATCTAACCGCTCATTATGACCACTTCAATGCTTTGTTATTTCTAAACCTGCCTTTAAACCCACTGTATTGATTTCTCACATACGTTAGGAGTGACGCTGTTCAACAACCACCTAAATATGCATCCTTTCTCAAGCAACACATAATAAATAGGCACGGTTAATCAATGGTCATTCAATCAACAACAATAAACACGAAGTTGAACAAGTAGAGAAATCCAACGGCTCAATTATATAAAAACATAACAAGAATTTATCCTATAAAAGGTTCCATCAAAACCCTAGATAACAAATTAACTATTCATAATAGTATGTAAAACTACAATACTAAAAGTCATAACCAACAATGAAAAAATAGGAAGAGGAAGGATAAACTCGTAGAAGAATTCCCCGCCTTGCTCCTATTGTGTCTCTGCCTCCTTAGGTCGAATCTGTGTCAAAGGCGTGTCCAACCTCCTCAAAATACCGTTTTTCCATGCATATATACCAAGTAGGGTCGGGCCCAAATAATTATACCTTCTCCTACGCGAAAAAGGAAAATTTTTCGGGTCTGGACGCTCGCGGTCGCGGTCCGGGCGCGGTCTGGGCGCGGTATTTTCCCAGTGCACTGCCTTAGTCCGCGTCCAGGTCTGCTGTCGCGGTTTCTACCACGTTTTTCACCATGTTCCGTTAGGAATTTGGAAAAACGTAAAACATGAAAGTTGTAGCCCTTCGAGTTAACTTTCCAACCATATATTAAATAATCCAAATGGAGTTCGGAGCAAAGAGTTATGTCTCTTTTATTAGACAGTTATGCCTACTTGAGTCTTCGTTTGTTCTTAACTATCAAATTTGACCCCTGAACACGATCCCGGCTTAATTCCTTGGGCTTTTACTCAGACTTCAAAGCTCCAAATCATTTGAATTTATTCCATAACATCTATATAGCTCAGAATCACTCCTACAAGGCAATAAACACACAATTAGTGCAAAACACTAGCGATTAAAGCGCAAACTCAACTAAAGTGCAGTAAATTAGAGTTTAATAATTGACTAAAATACGTAATTATAGCCTATCATCAATACCCCATACTTAAACCATTGCTCGTCATCGAGCAATCAAACTACACTTTATATAGACACGACCTTTTTAAATAATTCTCCTAACTCATCACACCAAGAATATTTAAAATAGACTAAGCACAAAAGCGTAACATCTTCACCTCAAGATTTGACTCACACACGCATTATTCACAACTTACTCACTTACTCTAACATAGAGGTCACTGACATTACCTCTCCTTCATGAATCAAGTTCCCTCACACAACAAAAGAGAGTAGTTCCACACAATAAAAT